CGAGTAAGCCAGAAGGAAAATATAATCTAGTAGCATGCTGAAGATGGACGTCTCGTGTTGTTCCGGGTATAATTTGCACAATAAAAAAAGCCATCTTTGAATCGATGTATTTCCGATATCGATTTTTATCGATTGACTATGCCTGGCTTAAACGGAGAGAATGTATATTTCCCTCGCTGTACAAAAAGCGTGTCAATCGAGTTGAAGGGAAAGCAATCGATATTTTGCTCGTTCTAAAAGCGTGTTACCCAAGTGGAAGGGAAAGCAGTATTCCCTTGTTCTAAAGCGTGCTACCTGAGTGGAAGAAAAACAATATATATTATTTCCCTTGTTCTAAAATGTGTTACCCGTGTGGAACAGAAAGCAATATTTATTTCCCTTTTTCTAAAGCATGTTACCCGTGTGAAACAGAAAGCCATGTACATTTCTCTTGTTGTAAAGCGTGTTGCCAGAGTGGCAACACGAAAGCAAAAGCAATGCAATGCAAATAGGTATTTCCCTCGTTTTAAAGAGTGTTACCTGAGTGGAGCAGCAAGCAATATACATTGAAAATATTACTACGATGATACTTGACGAAGGTCATGTTCCGTGAGACTAGGGTTTACTCGAAATGAGACATTTCATACCTCAAGGTTAGAATTCTTAAAAGGAATGAAACTTATTACAAGCGCACGATATTTCTGGAATCTTTACATTCAAACGTTAAACAAGACCTTCGTCAATGAAAAAATGATGTACCCACGGGCATATATGCCGCTGTTGAGATCTCTTGAGAGCTGAAACATAATGCATTGAGTTTGATTTCAAATTCATTGTTCCTCGAAGAAAACCAGAAATGCGGTTCGAAAATTTCGGAAACTTTTTTAACTTTTAACCCCTTTTAAAAAAGTCGTGTACTATTTCACTTAGTGTTTTTTCTTTCAAATATGCTGCTGAGAATGGAACTTTCTTAGCATTTTATTTAAGAAGTATTTCTCTGCATTTATATCACCTCGTGACTAAAACTTCTTCATCTGTTCTTTACATGCAGGATGCTAAAGCAAAAGCTGTGGAGAAAAGAGGGCAAGGAGTTAGTTACTTCAAGAAGAAGAAGTATGATTTAGCCATGCCAAAGTTCACAGAAGCCATTCTGCTACTGCCGCGGATTCCAGAGAATACAGAAACCATGCTGAAATTGTACTGGGAACGTGCAGAATGTTATCGACATAAGGTTTGACATTCCATGCTTCTTTCTTTTCTTGATAGCTCACACAAGTTTATATTTTTACCGCTCATGAGCTTGTTCTTTTTTTAGTCCCACATGGTAAGTTATGGACTACATGTTTTTGCATTTTTATGGCCAGAGTATAAAAACCATAAAGTAATAAACATGCTTGTTTGAGTTACCATCAATGTCAGCCAGCTTAATTAATTAATTAGTTAATTTACATATATTGATAAGGACTGATGTTACTGTAGATATTTGCATGGTTAATTACAGAGAATAATCCCTCAAGAAACAGGGAAATTCATTGAAAGAAATGGGTCTTCAGAGTCCGGGTGTACATGTAGACCCTTTTATTCAAAACGTTTACTTTCTGGTCAAACGAGAGAATTTGCTTGGAAATGCTTCCATGCTAAAGTGATAAAGATCAATCCAAAGTAATTTTGGTGGAGGTTTGGAGACTGAAACTACTGCTGTCTTACATTATGAAATAAAGTGACTTTTAAGTAGGAAAACAAGGCGTGAGATTAAAGGGCATTTGTCAACAGACACAATTTGATTTCTGATCCGACGGAATAATTTTCAGAGTTGATGTTTGCGCGAAACATTCTTCTCCATCAACCTTTTGAGGCGTGTGAAAATAGTAATACTGATATTGAAGAACTGTTTGGTTAGCTATGAAGGATTTAAACGGCCTATTTTGTTTTGTTTTGTTTTTTTTTAGTTGAATACCGACGNGTTAAAGTTAAATTAGTTCTTAGTTAACAAGTCTCTAAAGCTAACCCTACATCTGAATACCAATATGTCCTTTTCCGTTGACCATATGATATGTGACTTAATCTCTCTGTAGCTACTATTGCTGACTCCATCTTGTTGGGAACAAGAATGGCCCATAAAAAAACAGGGAAAAATTCTCAGAACCCTACTTACCTTACTTTGGTTATCCTGACCTTTAACCAATTTAATCCCTGCAGCTGACAGACTCTCTCCTGGTGACAACATGATACTTCTGACAAAGATGCATGTTCTTGAGAGGTTAAGACGGCATGAAGAATGCTATGATGTCTGCAATCAATTGATTGCAAAAGAATGTCAGGTAAGGTCTGGTCACAGTACTGCTATGACGATCTCCAGTTTTGTGTGAGTGGACTATATGATTAAATGTATCTATTTTATTTTATATAATAAGCCAGAGTATTCTCGCATTTTGACTGATTCTCACCTATTCCCTCCGTCTTTTAAAATGGAGAAAAGTTTTCAGAATTTAGATAATATTTTACGTGACTGGGCGNAGTGACAATTCGCAGTTCAGATATCTCATTACTTAGCTTATGAAATTTTCAATCTCAAACTGTGGTTTGAAAGTAACTTACATCATTCGAGAATGGACTTCCTTTCTATCAGGTTCTGTAAACAGACGAATAAACAGAGAATGACAACGTTTTTCACTTAGCAACATGCAACGAAAGAAAGGATCGAAAAGGATTGAAATGATTATTAAAATGGTAAACGAATTCAAACTCACCGTCGTCCATTTTGCACGCCCAAACCCGATGCAGATTTGTGTGTGAGCGTGGATTTACCACTGGACAAAAAACTGTGGAAAATCAGGACTGGGCGACCGGGCCTCCGGGCCGTCGCGGACCGTGGGCCGTGGGCCTGCTTTTAGAAAACCCAGTTTAGAGTGATCGGCTCAATGGAGCCTGAAATATGCACGAAAATGCTCGGAAATTTGAGTGAAAAGCTCGTAGCAAAGTTTCCTACGACCACACTTAGCTACTCCATGGTAGAAATTGCCCGTCTCGATGATGCTTTCTCAGAAATTTTTGAACTGGAAGCAAGCCCAGTAGAAGGTCAATCACTGCTGCAAAAAGATAAGAGAAGGAAAAACAGGAAAGGCGAAAAAAATTAACAAAACACCCGAACAGCCTAGAAAATGTAGGTCACACTTGATTTCTGTGCATGCCCAAGCAAAAATGTCGAGAAACGCGATGCTAGTGGAAAGAAAGGCATGTTGTCATGTTGCNACGCGATGCTAGTGGAAAGAAAGGCATGCTGTCATGTTGCAAATGCCTTTTGGAGTAGATTGGAGCTAATTTGGGCCATATCCAGGCTGAAAATCTCCAAAATGTCCAAAAAATGCGTTTTTGGCAAAAAGTTCGGGGAGTCAATGGGTTATATAGTTTGATGGACAAGTTTTCCTTTAGTCACCTTTTGTAAAAACAATTCCTGTGACAAACAACATTCTAAACACACGTTGTATCTGTAACCTTGTTTTGGAGACAGAGGACCTAGAAATGTAATAACCATACTAAGTATGTTATAAGTATGATTATTTGTGTGATTTCAGGTTCCTCAGTGGGAAACACACAGGCGATTGCAAATAGCGATGATTCCGAATTGATGTCCAGGTAAAGTCTTATTCAGTCTAGGTATATACAGACTGTTGCCTCATTCCTCACCGGACCCTAGTCTTCCCATTGCCTCACTGTGCTGTGCACGATGTAGTCGGTCATGCACAAGAAACATTGCTCATAGTTGAATAGGTAATATGATGGCGTGTTTAGAAATGGCCAGGTGGCTTAAGGGGGCTATTTATAACAGCAAAAAAAGGGGGAGACTAGCTCGAGGGAAATATCTTTTCTTGGTTGGTAAATATTGTGAATTTACTGGTCACAGGATTAGAACGTGTAGTATTTTCCATACAGCCGCAACTCTTAACTCGAGACACGTGTCATGTGACAATTGATGACGTCATGCCATATCCTTTATTAAAAGTTTTGAAATTCCAACTTGTTTCTGATTCTTTAGAAAGAGGACGGCAAGAGTAGTTAAAAGGTGAAAATCGTTTGTCTATAACACACAAATAAAGGAGATATGACATTTTAAATTCTAAAACATGCTTAGCCCAAAAACGGTGACCCCTCCGAGATAAATATTTTCAAATTGAAGTTGTGCTTTCCTGTTAACAATTCCATTCGTGTTGCATATTGGCTGTCCTATATGAGTAGAACCGATGGAAAAAAAAAGAAATGCCAATCATAGTTTTTCCTATCCTTCTAAGCACGTCAACACGTATTTGTGATGTCATGGTAACTGACGTCATCGCTTATTCAAACAATGAAATCTTGTTTTAGGGGCGAAGACCTAAAAAACCTAAAATGATACAATTTGGGGGAACGCTAAGCACTCTATGCTACCAAATTATCAGCGTCTTTCAAAGAAAACTGGAGAAAAATCAAGGAGATTGATTTTAGGGGAACAGCATGGTTTTATAACTCGAGAAATATTTGTCATAGCGAGGAACGGTTTTCGTTTTAATAGTCCCCCAGTCATGCTCTTTTGAATGATACATTTGGTGGTATGAAAGTCGACAATTTGTATAACACGTTTTTGCGACGTCATCAAATAAGACATTGTACACTTTGCTGCATAATCGTCACTGCAATTGTTGTACCCTTGTATTTACATGATTGTCGCCCTACCTGGAACTTAAATCGCAATCTTGAAATCAGTTTCACTGTGGACGTTTGTGCACAATTTTGTTCAAAGCAGTATATTTTTACTTACTATCGTTAAACAATTTTGGTAAAAGGAAAAATATTGGCCTCTTTGTAACATTATGGATGTATCACATTCTTAAGGGCCTCTTCATATAACCCTTACTCAAAGTTTTAACTCAAACTCAAAAAGTTATTGTCGGTATAAGCATGCTTCCTGTAAGATCAGATTAAAGCTTGCTTTACACATAACCCGTCCCTCTGTAGTGCATCTTTTTTGTTGCCCACCCTTTTTTTTCATGCCTAAGCTCTATTTTTACCAGCCCATACCCATCTTATTTTTATGATCAGTCTCTATTATCGTTATGTTTTACAGCAGAAAAGATCAGTCATTGCAGTTAATGGAAAGTAGTGAAACTGAAAGTGAAACAGAAGAGGAAGAGGTTGATGACAAGTTTTCTGAAATGATGACTCATGATAATCACAGTGTTACCAAAGAAGGTACTACAAAGATTCAAAAGGGAATTGCAAAGAATACAGGCGTGTTTACAGCTGATGCAAAGGAAGCAATTCGTCACAACAGCAACCAACTGGGAAAGGCAAAGGTGAGGAGACAGTGGTGTTCATTATTCATCTACCACAGTTATGTTGATAAGCAGTTCTACATGAAAACTTGGAAAGAGAATTACCAGGTGGACTGCGGACTTGAAATAGCGGAGCCCCATATTCATAGAAACCCATGAATCGCGTTTCTCATGGTAAAAATGGCTAGCAGTATTGTTTGTGGGCGCGTACGCACGACGACGACGTTGCGCAACATGGCGGCCATACTCCAGTTAATCGTTCTCGATTGTGATTAGTTCTCCGCACGCCTATTTGTCGCCTGATCATATGGGTGTCGAATTACAGGTATCCAATTACAACTTTTGTATTTGGATACTTGCAATTGGATTACCACGTGATTCGCACGTCAGTTACGCGCACTTCAATGGCTTTCTCCTTTATATTTCCTACAGTTATGCAAGGTGCTACTCACTTTTTCACTCAAAAGTAGCGGTCAAAAGACTTAATTTCGAGATTTTGTTATTGTTACGATTAATTAGTATCTGGACCTCGTGTCGTACAATTCAGGGAGTAATCGTGCTCGTAATTTCAAATCGGCCTCGCGCTACGCGCTTGTCCGAATTTGAAATTACTTGCGCGATTACTCCCTGTACTCCACTCGGTCCAATCACTAATATATAGATTTAGCCAAGCCTCAAAGCGGAGCTCTTGAGCCGGGTTGTTCAAAGCCCGATTAAGCTAACCCAGGATAAGCAGGAATTTTGATTTGAGTTTTGTAACTTTGTGGTGATGTTTTCTGTTTATATTGTTTGACCTTCTGGTTTGATTTTGAAAAATCTCAAACTACAGTAGGATACCTTGTTTTGACAGGTGTGAATTGACCATAGCTTGGATGTCCAGTATCAAAGATAGACGCTGTAAACCAAGACTGCATGACTTGGTATTAGCTGGAGTATGACTGGCATCTTGCGCGACGTCGTCGTTGGGCGCACGCGCTCTCGATTCATACTAACCGTGTTAACCATGAAGAAAGAGTTGCATGGGTTTTTATTTCTATGCATACATGTGATTCTGTTCCTATAGTTATGGTGCGCCGCTTGGCGACCCTTCGGGCCGCCAGAGCTCCACTATTACAAATAAGTTGACCAAGACGTGGAGCCTTGATTTACGGCGTACGTCTGTGAAATTGGACATCATGTTATGGTCAGTTGACACCTGACAAAACAAGGTATCTGCTGACGAGCATAACTTGACCACATCCCGGGCTTAAGTTTGGAGCACATCGAGGTTACGTGTTTTGTTAAAGTTGACCGCAGACCAAGTGCTGGTTTTTCGATTGGATCGCGGGCTCACGCCAGGTTAACTTACTTTAATCTGGCCCGCGTTTTTCGAATGTAGGTTGACGCAAACCCAGGATTTAAAGTTAACCAAATGATAAATTTTCTTGTATGAAAACGTTTTTCACTACTAATGTTTTGTAAAGTTCGAGAATATTCAAACTAAGAAGGCAAAACAAAATAAACAGAAAACCTCATCGCAAATCAAGCTTTTTGCTTATCCTGGGTTAGCCTAATCGGGCTTTGAACAGCCCTGCGCAGGAGCTCCGCTTTTAGGCTTAGCTAAATTTATTTATTACGTTTGTGTGGTGTATGGCTTAATTATGTAAGATTTGTCCGACATCCAACTTCTTAATTGAGGTATTCTCTCGATCTCTATTCAGGGCAAAGTGTTTCTTCACAAACCTGTTGTCAGTATGCCATCAAGTGTGAAAACTCCGTCTCCACAATCTTCTGCAGGTCTGTTTATGTGATTGAATTCTCTACTTTTATTATTTGTTGGCGTTAATCTTAACGTCACTGATTAAACTACAACAGGTTTTTTTCTGTCTTTGAAAATCCGCCAATCTCAATACGGTAGACCCATTTCAGTAATTCCTAATCTCGAGGACAAAACAAAGGTTGTTCTCTCCCCTGAGAGAAACAAACCTTTCAAATGCAAAACAAACTTACTGTTTTGTCTTCCAGATTGAGAATTAACTGAAAGGGATCTAAGAACTGGTGCAGAGGTCTAAGAACTTAATGCAGAGTTGTGAGGATATACAAAGCTCTATTAGGCATTTCTTAATTTGTCCAAGAAACTGAAAAACTATCCCATTAAAATGTGTGCCATTTGTTACGCTCTGATTGGGTGTGGAGGCGTTTGCACGACGCAATATTATAATGGACGTAATACAGATTAGTTTCACGATCGGCCCTATAGTTTAGCTTACGAGATAGACGTCAATATTTTACGGTATTGTTGTTTTACTTTATCGCGCGTGATTGGTTGAAAACTTGTGACAACGCAGCACTGAAATGTGTTCCTCATGTACGCTTCAATTCAGAACTTTACAACGATGAATCGCCGCTAATCTTTTTCCCAGGTTGTTGTAACACAAATAATCAAAACACACACACGCAGACGTTTTCCGTTAAGTTGAGGTATATTTATACCCACTTTTACATTTTTACCATAGTAATTATTTTTACATTTTTATTCTGTTTTCTTGGCGCGCCTGTAAACTAGCTGATGCGTCCTGTAGACTCTGCTTATCAAGTCTATGGGACGCGCCGTTACCATAGCTAAGTGTGTGTCCAAGTAAAATAAACTGTCTATGTCTATGTCTATGCCTGTGAATGATGGATGTTTATAGCGGAGTATGACAAAGAAAGCTGTTTTGCATTGAACTGAGGACCTTGTCAAAATGGCTGTCCTTTATGGTTGCTTAACTGATAATCGATTTTTCGAACTAACTTACTTGCTTAACGGATGATTAATCGAACAGAGCAACATCATAAAGCTCTTTGATAAGAGTTGGCTTTGAAAGCAATTGAAATGAGTTGAAACTGTTTTGTATTTTAGGTTTTACATATCCCCAAAGAATTCTGGTGATTTGTAACCGATGGTCCTGCTGGCATCTCAGTGTGTGTACAGTCAACAAACAGCTTTGCCGAAGTTTTGCAAAGGTTGAAGACGAACAGGTTGCATGTTTGGTTCTTGATGCAACTGAACAGGAGAGGATATCAGCAGCAAAGGACGGGGTGATCCTTATTAAGGCTGCTGACCAGCCTGGTACCTTTTCAGGAGATGAAAAGCTACTGTCTCTTCACACTGATATCCCTTTTAAAGTAGATCTAGTGGTTGGTCATGGAATGGTCTCAGGTGCTGCAGCAGCCATCCAAGCAAAACGATTGAAATGCAAATTACTTCATATATTTCACAATTCGCCCGTTGAGGATGAAGATTCATTCACAGCAGAGAGAGAGATAGCAGTAAGAGCGGATTTTGTAGCCGGGATTGGCCCGCTTCTTGTGGAGCAGTGGGGCATGATCATTAATCGTGAGATATTTATGATAGTACCAGGCATGACAGAAGTTTTACCGCGAAACAGAATACCTACGCCACGGAGTAGATGCCTCATTCTAGGAAACATGAACGATCTTGATATGAGTGGTCTTGGGTTGGCTACAGATGCTCTTGCATGTTGTAAACGACAAGAAAATCCTATTCACCTAACTGTGTTGGGTACGCAGCGAGAAAAGGTTCACGAGTTGAAAGATGATCTAAAGAAGCGGTGCTATTCCTCTGAACTGGAGGTTGTTGTTAAGCCATCTGATGTGAATCGGGAAATCGTCGAAGTTGAAATTCGTGGTGTTTCCCTGGTACTCATGCCGTCACCAACTGATGGGTTTGGTGTAATGGCACTTGAAGCTTTGTCTGCGAAAGTTCCAATCTTAATCAGTTCTTCAAGCGGTCTTGCAAAGTTGCTCCAAAAAAGCTTTGATACGAGCTATTTAAAGTTCGTCTGTAATGCCAAAGATTCCCAAAACAGTATTGATGCTTGGTCAGATGCCATTGATGACATACTTCAGGACCGAGACGAGTCATTCAACATGGCGTCATCTCTTCGGGAGAAGTGGAATTCCAAATTTACCTGGGACTCCACAGCCAATGACCTACTTGCACATCTTGGCAGATCTGGAGTTTTCTTTGCGCTTTCACCGTCAGCTACGCAACATATATCGCTACCATCACAGTGCTCAGATTCAGCCCTGAGGTTTATGGAGTCTGAGGTAGATTTGCTGAATAGAGGTCGTAAACATGTCTTGTTCCTTTCACCAGAGAATACTTCAGATTCTCCATTTATTCAGTATTTTGCCCAGGTGCCATGGGCTGCAGTCTTTGATTTTGATGTGAACAGTGTCGCAACCGGCTACCTTGCAAGTTGTGAGAACTTTTGCGAAAATGTGGGTGTAAAGATTTGCCGAATGCTGCCACCTTTACCTGACAAGGATCAAAGAAAGATTTCTGTCATGCTGCCAAATGGCATGCCATGGCTTCTCCTCGAGGGAATGCCAGAAAGCAAGCGGAATATTAAAGATAATTTGGAATGGATAAGAGAATTTTTTATGGCTCTCGGCAAGGCTAACCCTGGACCAATCACCTTCATAGTACTGTGGGGGCCAGTGAAAGAAGCAAAAGTTTTGGGCAAGAATCTTTCAAAAATTCTCACAGTAGTTCAGGGCTCATCCGTCCATGGTCAAGTGAAGCTTGCCATCGCATGCACAGCACCCACAGAAGACAGGGTTCTAGAAGACATTGCTGATGACTGGAATGTTGAAGTACACATGTTGTCCCTCGAAGACATTTGCAATGCACTTTGCAAGTGTGTCAGTTCATCGCCTTTCATCCAAGAAAACCGTGAATTTGCACTGCCCGTGGCAGATCTGGACGACCCACAACAGGTTTCCTTTAAAGTCTTGCCCCCCAACCGTCGCTGGATAAATGCAGAAATGGAAGTACTGTACCAGTCGGTTGGAAGCACCCCTCAGTTTGATGATGATGATGCTTGTCATTTCTATCGGGGAGGCTTGATCTCTTGGTATGCTCTTCGTATGGGCTACGCTGTGGAACGTGGAAACTGGGCAGCGTTGAATACAAGGATTCAGGAGCTTCTTGTGAAGGCTGGGACAATGAAGCTGAAGATGCCACATCAAAGAGGAGCAGGTGGTACAACCTCTGCCCGCAAGATCCTCTTTGATTATCATGAGAAATACCCCTGTGTTTTTCTCAAGTCTGTTGGCCATGCAGAAATCGCTCCTGCTATCAAAGTGTTGGCCGCATTTTGTAGATTACCTGTCATTATTCTCGTTGACTGTAAACACATTCTAAGCGACGAGTTTGACGTTGACAGTCTGTATAACAGTCTCTCAAATGATAGGATTCCGTGCGTTATTCTAGAGGTAATACACCAGAACCAGCAACGGGAGAGAATTGTTTCTGCAAGCTTTGAAAAGGCTGATAAGACTGTCCCAGTTCGCCTCGCAGACGCTCTCACTTCTGACGAAGCTCAAGAGTTTGTGAAGATTTATAGTGCCCAGAAAAGGGAAAAACAAGCTGCCCTAAAATCTCTTCTGAACTCCCGGCAAAGGGAGATTCAAATACCCTTTTTCTATGGGCTGGTCACCTTTGAAGATCGCTTTACAGGTCTTGAGCCCTTTGTGAAGGAATGCTTGCAAGATCTCGACAAATATGAGCGGTACATCCTTCTCTTTTTGGCCATGACGTATCATTATGGGCACAGTTCTCTTTTTGCAAATGATTTTGCCGGATTGTTGGAGGCACCTCGGAGAGAGGTACTATCCCTAGAGTTGGTGCTTCCTAATTTATCAAGGGAACTGCTTCTGGAAGAAGATGGAAAATGGAGGCCGAGGCATGACCTAATCGCATTGGAAATGCTCCGTCAGCTACTAACACAGCCAGATGATGATGGACTTCCACAAACACATCCTGACAACTGGAGGAATCAGCTTGCTGATAAAGCAATGATTTGCTTTACCCATATGTCAGAGGGAGTTGTAAGCGACATGCTGCTGAGCAGATTTACTGATGACAACTCTCACCAGTACTTCTCGCAGCTCATTTCTGATATCCCTTTTGATGAAGATGCGATAAGGCTCTTTGATAAAGCGATCTCTCTATTTCCTGACAACCCCTTTTTCAAAGTGCACTTGGGCCGCTTTTACAGTATCAAAAAGAAGTCAGATGGCTTCCTCTTGGCTATTCAATACACAAATGAAGGGATAGCATGCGCAGATGACCATATATCTTCTCGTGTTGTTCGTGGGCAGTTTGCACAGATGAAAGGGGTAGTGTACAGTCGAGAGGTGCATTACCTTGCGGAAGCAAATGCTGAAATCGCGACTATCATAGAGAGGGCTGATGACGGAGTCAAGAATTTCAGACGTGCAGTTAGCATTGCCCCTGATTTGGTAGATGGTTACATTCCAGAAGTGCGAATGATGGTTAAGGTCTTTGAACACATTGACAAGACTACAGGAAGCTTCCATAAATATGTCAGGTCTCCTAATGTACATCCGTTTATTATTGATGCTATTTCCAACACTTCCAATACCCTCGAGTGTGTCCCCGACAGTGAGGCGTATACCTATTGGAGGATGCGTCTGTCATGTATTGGCCGGCGAGAATTTTCACCAGAAAAAGTGAAGGAGACATTAAATCTTCTATTGCATCTCAGAAACAGTGGCACAGCAAGTAGAGCATCGATTAATCGTCAAATTGTCATCATGAGGATGGAAGCTCAGTCAAAGAAACGTCGACCAATCGCCGAAATTGCTCGTGAGTTGATTGAGCTTTTAAACGAGGCTTTACGACATGATTCCAATGTCGAGCAGACCATGAGGCTGTGGGTGCGACTTGCACCATTTATTCCTGTTGATCTTTCAGAATCAGAGAGGAATATTTTCTTTTGGTGCTCAAGAGAGAAGTCCGAGCGTTCGTACTTGTATAAGTACATTGTTGCCTGTTTGCACCTACTTGGAAGAGGCTCTCCCAGTTACAGTGAGGTCATGAAGAATGCAAAAGAAGACCTCAACTCGGCAATTAAAGCCATCAACCGTGCTGATATTGGAAGATTCCGTCATCCCGACAGACCCGTGGTGTGGCTAGGGCGTGAAGCAAAAGGAATGGGAAATCTGGTCTACCTTGAAGAAAAGATTACTGACCTCATTGACGTTAGAATGAAACGTTTTATCGACAGTAAACACACCAAGCAGCTTCGCACCCTCTCTGGTCGAATTGTGGAGACTGGAAATAAAGTTGGAACAATCAGGATAAATGGAGAGCTAGATGTGTCTTTTCGTGCTGACCTCTGTGAAACTCCTTTAACAGGATCGGGCTTTGTGAACAGAAAAGTGCAGTTTTTCTTAGCCTTTAACTTTTTTGGTATGGATGCTTACAATGTACAGCTGATGCAAGAGAAACACGATTTTTAGCAGGCAAGTCTAAACGAGTACAAACCAAGGCTAAAGTTCACTTGAAGGTCATTTTAGAGATTAAAACGCACTCAAACCAATCTCGCCAAGACTGTCCTAGGGAACTGATTAAAGTAACTATCTGGAACATGTCAAACTGTCAGAGAGACAGATTAAACGTTTCGTGAAGCTGGCCAAACAGTAAGGCTGAATAACTTGTACAGTGAAGATCATTACAAACAACAGAATGGCGACGCAGATGAATAATGTGTGGTATGCCATGAACACATTTGTCAACATGACCAAAGGATAGTAACCCAACAAATCGCACCTTCTTAGTTGGAAGCACTATGGAGACAGATATGTCAGTTACGGCATCGGCGCTGTTGTGATGTAACTAAAAAACAAGTATTAATATGATCGTTGGATGTTGTTAAACATGCCAGGATGACGGCGTCAAAGAGACAACGTTACACAGACTTGTATGATCCTTCCTTCCTCAAAAGAGAATTAAAAAGCAACAGAAAGCCAGCAGAGTTGATTCAGGGGCCTTAATCACCCTAACCCAGTCCTTTACCACTTTGTCACCCTAACCCAGCCTTAGCAAACTTCTGTATCATAGGAAAATTGTACTGGAAAAAGACCATTCTTTGTATGGTATGCATTCCAATGGTTGTCCATGCAATAGTTTATTTTCAAGAAACCTACCTCAGATCTGGTCGAGTTAATTAACAGTTTGAGTTCGAGTTACTTGTCGGCAATGGCAGAGCAAGGTTCTCAAGAATGAAAATTGCTCACGCGAGGAAGACGTAGTCTTGTGAGATGTCCTTTCTTCCCCTAGAAAGGACAACTCAGTCTGTCCCGGAACAAATTTTGGAGAGAATCTGTTGTGTATTCAACGCCTCCGAGTTCTCGAAAAGAAAGTCTGTACCTCACTCAGCTTACATTTTGTGTTCTGAACTTTGAAAAACAAAGGATGAAATCTATACGTTTAGCGACGAACAGAATACTGTTTCCATCATTTGTTATGTCTGCTGAGAGCCTGATAGGACTTCTGGAGAGAACTTTGAACTTAACATGGACATTGTGTCGTTTTTTTCCTTTTAGATGAGCTGTATATTTAAGTTTAAAGCCGCTTTAAAGGGCCCTAGTCGTAAGATTTCTCGCTTAGGGCTGAAGTGAGCACGAGAGCCATGTTGTAGATTAAATCTGCATTGATTTATTCTTGCAATCCCCTTATCAGGTTACTTATAAAAGTCACTAGTTTAAGATGAACCTCACACTAGTCGGCCACACCTTTGTTTTTGTTTGCATGCGAG